CTTCCCTTACCCCAAGACCTCAGTCTCTTCTGATTGCCATTGTTTTCGTCTTCCAAGGCTGGAAACAGTGCTACCATTTCTCAGAGGCTTCACTTTCTTCACATTAGCAAGGTCAAGGAAAAGAAACTGTATTCGGGAGACACCCATAACCTAGAGTGTGGCAAGGGCGCAGTACCCGAGCTGATCTTGTTCCATGATGGGCATCATTTCTTCCATGTGTATGAATCAAACAGCCCTTGGAGGATCTGACTCAGCTGTGAATGGAAAATAGTCCCAAGAATAAACAGCACAGATCTCTAGACTGTTGACATCCTTCCTGGAGTTTCCAGGGAGCAATCGAATCGTTATCAGAAGGATCCCCACAGCACCAGGAAATTCAGGTTCTGTTCCCTGTCTTTAAAGTTTGTGCCTCTCAGCCACCCACATTCCTGCTTATTGCAATATAAAAGTTTCCCCGAGTTTCTGGTTAAATGGCACATCAATTTTTGTCTCTCTGTGGACTTTCAATGGTCCCTGTGGTCCCAGTACACATTCCAACTTGAGAAATAAAACTTACCCTTCAGGGAATTTTGAGAAGAGCCTTGCTCTTTCAAAGTCCAGGGTCCGATTTCATTCTAAGCCTTTTTAACATTATGAAATCCAGCAGAAGTTTCCGCTGAATAAGTGTGCTAGAATTGGGGTGCTAGCTAGGCAGAAGGGTATACCTTCTAAACAGCTTTATCCACAGACTTACTACAAGGGCCTTGTTGATTCGATGTGGTCACAGCAGATTGGACCAGGCCCAACTAACGCAATCAGAAACTCCCCTGAGCATTTTGAAGTGAGACCTAAGGACTGCTTGGTGGTGGGTCTGAGCACTGAGATGTGGACTGGAGTGGTGTCCTGCCATGAACACTAAAGCAGAGCAAATCCGTGCAGATAGAACATCAGAAGGAAGCAAACCTGTTTTTAAAAAGGAAGAATGCAACAGAACACATTAATAAAATACCTATGGATAGTTTACATCAGTCAGAAATAAGGGGCTGGCATATTTCTGGGAGGACAGCGCTTTTCTGAAGGGAAATGAGGGAGGAGCAGATCTGGGGGAGAGGGGAGGCGGGGTATGAGGGGGAGCAATGAAGATGTGTGTGTGTGTGTGTATGTGTGTGTGTGTGTGTGTGTGTGTGTGTGTGTGTGTGTGTGTGTGTGAGATAATGTGGGGGGGGGGGAAGGGATGAAGGTGTGTGGGGAGGAATGGAGGGTGGGGAATCCGGTCAGGATGTATTGAAAACAAATAAATATATAAATAATAAGTAACAGGCTGGGGATACATCATCTTTCTGGACTGGAAGCTTCCCAAAGGACACTGTCCTCTGAACCAGCCTCATGGTAGCACTGCTTCAGGACTATGTGAAAGGATGCATGGGTAATCAAAATCTGTGTCCACAGAAACTTATTTAATTCTGTGTGTGTGTGTGTGTGTGTGTGTGTGTGTGTGTGTGTGTGTGTGTGTGACATGTAAAGCACACTGGTGCCATAGCATGCATGCTGGAGGGCAGAGGACCAGAGGACAACTTTCAGGAGTTAGTTCTCTCCTTTAACCACATAGGACTTAGGAATTGAACTCAGGTCATCAGGTTTGGCGGTCAGAGGTATTATTCACTGAGCCACCTCACCAGTCCCACTTCTTAAGACAGGAGTTTACCTCTTTTGACTCCCCGGGACCAGCGTAAATGAGCCCATTAAAAAAAAAAAAACCACTGCTGTTGGTGAGTCTTGAGAATAATACCTACTAAATGTGCAGAAAGAAGGAAACACATCTCTGCTGAGATCTCAATCTCCAACTCTCTTGTGTGTGTACCACTGCACATAATTAAAGGTTAAAGAAGTGTCCTGCGGGTTTTTATAGAAAGCAAAAGTACATGCAATTCTTCTGAAAGCATGCTGATTACTCTTGGCACATTGTGTTTTAATTTTGATCTCTGGAAAATATCAGGAACAAGGAAAGAACTTCCCACCCCCACCCGACTAATCCTGCTCCATAGGAAAAACAGTATTGAAACAATACAAACATCTTGGAGCAAACCTCTTTCAAAAGTAAGGAACCAGCTTCACCCTAACAACAGGCCTGAAGTCAGCAGTTTGTCCGCCAAGAGAGTGGGAGTTGGCACTGCTCCTCATGAACATCAGCCTCGGGAGGCCTGGGGGTGAATTGAAATTGTTTCCTCTGGTCAGATGTTGATGTGCCCCCACCCCATGTGTGAATTCATCACGAGGGCTGTGGGGTGGGTCTGGGATGAGGGTCCAGCTTGTGTGGATACATGTGCGGAAGCACACCCTTTTGCTCTCTAGCATCTCTAGTAAGGACATTGGCAGCACCCAAAAGAACCTTGGAAAATTATATTCAGTCTTACTTATCCTCATTTTTTTTTTTGAGCAGTTAGAATTTAATCCCAAGAACAAGCCAAGAGGGCTGGAAAGATGGCTCAGTGGGTAAGGGTGCTGGCTATGTAAGTTTAAGGGCCTGAGTTCAGATCCTCAGCATCCATGTAAAATGTCAAGGTGGTCCCCGGTGCCTGTAATGCTGTGCTGAGGGGAGCAGAGACAGGGGGTCACTAGTGTTGTTAGGCAGCCAAGGTAGCTGAAAAACTGCAAGAGAGACCCTATTTCAAGAGAACAAGTTAGAAACCAACAGTTGGAGATACTCTTTATCTTCCTCTGCCTTCCAAAGTGCATGTGCACACCCATGCAACACACGTGCACACACACACACACACACACACACACACACACACACACACACACGCACACACACACACCCCACATGCTGTATACACAGAACACACACATGCATATACCCCTCATACCTGCCCCCAAATGCATACACCACACCACACACACATAAATGACAGACAGACAGAGACAAAGACAGAGAGAGACTGGAAAAGACGCAAGTGGCACTGGATATCCCACAGGTAGCCACTAACCTGACCTTCTTACACAACATGCACTCATCTCATGATCTTTGAGGGGCCAGAAACAATCAGGGGCGCGAGGGGTAAGTCCTCCAGCCGTGTGGGGAGGGGTGCAGAGGGAAAAGCAGGTGGAGCCTGGGAGGAAATTCTGCCCTGCCTCACAGTGGCTGGTTCCTGCCTTCTTCACCAAGGCCAGCTGTGCCGGCTCAAGAACGGGCATTGTTTTACAGGAGAGGCAAGTTCCTGGGGAGGAGGGGTTCTTTCTGGTCACCAGGTTTAGGACTTGAACGTCTACACTGGACAATATATAGGCCTGACTGAATCTTCACGATGTTCCTCTGGGCTGCTCAAAAGAGTTCCCAGCACTCTGGGGTAACAGGACTGAAACCATGGTCAAACGCTGTGGATCTTCAAGCTTGTCGATGCTAGCACCGCTTTTATGTGAAGACAAGCACAGACATATTGTGAAATAGAATGCAACACTTACCTGTATTTTCTTTTTTTACACACAGGAGGTTATAGAAATATCCTGCCTGTTGCAGGATGCTGTAAACCACACCCAGGACAACCCTAGCAAATACAAGCTCTCTCTTCTCTGCTTCTAGATGATCAGAGTGGAAAGATTTGAAAACAAATACTACTGCATTCCCCTCACCCCTCTGGATGAAAGGGGAAACACTGGAGGACTTCTACGGGCCACTGTCATTGTGCAAATAAAGAAACAGGGGCCTTGCTCCCATCTCCAGTGTAAAGACTGGAAGACAGGAGTGACTGAGTGCAAACCCTCACCAGCACAGAGGGACTACAGACGCGCTTGCGTTGCTCCTTGGCTCCCTTTGCATCTGATTTGATTTGGCCATGTTAGCTAGGAAGTGGGAAAACAAGAACCAAATCTCTGCTCTTGGATCCAGGGCCATCTACTACAGCAGTTTGTGGGAGTGACCCAGCTGCTCCCTCCATGCTTTTCTTTCCTGTGTGTCTTCTCCAGAAGCATAGCGTGACGTCCGTGGGTGGATGGAGCATCCCAGTGACCTGGGGGCAGCTGGGTGCCTGGGCCGCAGACTGCCCTGCTGTTCTCTGGACCAGCTGCAAAGCGGCTGTTTGAGGCCCACCAGGGATGGCTGGCTTGAGCGCTTCCTGGGCTTTGGGCTGGTGTCTGTTGCCGATAGGCACAGCTGATGTCCGTGAGGCCGACGTTGCTCAAACCCAGCCAGGGCCGAGCCTTCCCCATGCCCCGGATCTCCCCTAGGCTGTCATTGGTTTTGCCAGTGCTGAGTTTCAGCCATCTGCTGTGTGGTCTCTAGCCCGGATGCCCTCAACCTTACCTGGTCCTTACTGTTAGACACCTTACCTCCCACAATACCCCCTTGGAGACGTAACGACTCCCAGCAGATATGCTGTGAATAACTCAAAAACGCTGGGATGCCCTCTGCCTCCACTTTGTGTAATGGTGCTGGGCACAAGCAAACAGACTTGCTCTTCCGCTCCCAGAGGAGCAACAGCAGAGACCCGAGACTAGACAGTCCCCAGCTTGTCTCACTTAGTCTTTCAGGGGGACTGAATCCAAATAAGAGAGCTAGGAAGCCGCCTTAGCCCTCCTCCTCCTCCTCCTCCTCCTCCTCCTCCTCCTCCTCCTCCTCCTCCTCCTCCTCCCTCTCTCTGGTCTCCAAATTCGCTGGCTCAGAAAACACAATCCTCGTCTAAATTTAACATTTTGACCTCTTGGACAAAACGTTAAATGGAGAAATGAACTTTATAATCTGATGGGATAAGCTGTTCTTTGAGGAACTGAGAGGAACTTAGACAAGCTTCCTTTCCCTTTGGTCCAAAGCCTGTAGGATGCTGTCTCTGTTCTGCCCTTTTGACTTGGTTTCCTAAGAAAATTTATGAGATGTCAAGTAACAAAAAGTTGAGAATTAAATGCACCAATTTAGCTGGGCATGCCTGGAATCCCAGCACTTGGGAGGTGGAGGCAGGGGAATCAGGAGTTCAAGGCCAGCCTAACCTCTATAGTATGTTCAAGGCCAGATACATGTAACCATGCCATGAAAATAAAAGGCATCAATTTAATATTTGTAAGACTAGCATCTGTTACAGACCTGTTTATGAAGTAGAACGTCAAGACAGTAAGCAGACTGTATAAATACCCAGGGCATGTTTCTGTTTCCAAATGCCTCATATTTAGTTAGTCCTGGCACCTAGCCCACCCCACACCCCTGTAGACCTACATCGCCTCAACCCAGGATTGGAGTATTTACATATCATTGGATTTTTACTACCGGTGAATAAAAAATTAATCTTTGAACAAATTGGAAAGCACGGTGAATTTACACAATGGAATACAATTAAAGCATAAAGCAGGGGGGCGGGCATGAAATGGCATCATTAATAACAGTACAGTTGGAACTAGAAGTCATCCTGTCAAGTGAAATAAGCCAGGAATAGAAAGACAAGCACCACAGGAGCTCACTCCGGGTTAGACTCTTTCAAAAGTTGTTCTTATAGCAGCTGAGAGACTAACGGTGTTTCCTAGAGACAGGAGATTGGAGAAGTGAGGAGATGGGGAAAGGCGGTGTAGCTAGGCAGGAGTACAAGATTCCGGTGTTTGCTTCTACAGTAGGTGACTCTATCGAGAATAAAGGGGTTTTAACGGCTTTTCCATGAAGAAGTAATTTGAGGGGGTAGATGTTCACCCTTTTCTTTTTGAAAACAAAGTGCAACTTATACATAAAAGTATAAAATACCACATAAGTCATAAATACAAGCACTAGCACTTATGTGTGTTAATTTAAAATTTTAAATAGTTGAAAGCTTTGGTGAAGAATAAAAGGAAATGTCATTTCTCTTCTGCCTGTGTGGCAGGATAGCTTTCAAGGTGGGGGATCTTGATCTCAGAAAGACATCGGATAGGGGGCTCTCCTAACACCGCGCCCACATTTGAAATCCCAAGAAGTTGTCCTGTGAGTGGCTTGGCGGACCTCAACCTATTGCAAACAGTGCCCTCAGCTGCACGGGTGAGTGTCTCAGTACCCAACAGTGGCGGTGCCCTCAGCTGCACGGGTGAGTGTCTGGGCGCCCAACAGTGGCGGTGCCCTCAGCTGCACGGGTGAGTGTCTGGGCACCCAGCAGTAAGCTGTTTGACCCCGGGAGACATGGTGCATGTCTAAGGCTCACTGTGGGACACTCTGGAGGTCTTAGCGCTCTGGGGAATGAAGGGATCAAATGTGCCTCCCTCAGTGAACCTGCGGAGCCGAAGGCCAGAGGCTCCCCTTAATCAACCTGGATTGTGAATCTCTGGGAACTCACTCTGCTCTCTCAGACACACAAAGGGGTGAAACCTTAAAAGGATAATGGAATCTGGAGTTAAATCCAACTATACGGTCAAGGGAAGACCTTCATTTACTGCTGTTTAGAAAACCAAATGTGGGCCTGGAGATGTTTCAGCAGTCAGAACACTTGTTGCTGCTCTTGCAGAGGATCTGAGTTCAATTCCCAGCACCCACAGGTGGTTCATAGCCATCCATAACTCAGGTTCCAGGGATCTGATGCCCTTGTCTGACCTCTGTAGGCACCAGTCACACAGAGAAAATAAAATAAATAAATCTTTTTTAAAGAAAAGAAAAGTAAATGTGGCATGGGTCATATTCCAGGGTCATGGAACCATTGGCACTCCTTGCATTTAGTAACATGTCAGTAAGTGCCAATTTGTTACACAGTTGACCCAGCTTTTTGTGTGTAATTGCCAGTGGTGGGTCTCTGTGGGTAGCCTGACCTTCTGTGTCTAGTCACAGTACTAGCTGGTCCCAGGAGAACAAGGACCATGCACCTGGCTTGGATGATGACCTCCCATGACTTGGCCCGCACAGTACGGAAATGTGTCACGACTCCTCAGCAAGTGGCTCCTCCCTTCTGTTGTCATCTCGCCTCCTCCATCATCCGCCCACACCTACTTCTTCACAATTCCCAAATGTTCGTTGACAGCCGTCTGTCTCCGTGCTAGACGTTACTGGAAAGAGGAGAGACGTCCGTTCCTGAGAACCTCGTAGGCCAAGGGCGGAGAAGGAAGACAGCTCAGAACGTGTTGGGTGCAGCGACATCCGCCCACGGAAGGGTGGCCTTGGCTCAGCTGGACATCTCTGTTGGCCAGAATGGAGAGAATGTAATTTTCAGCCAATAAAATCAAGGGGCAAATGTAGCTAGAGTTTTCCTGCCTGGCCCACAGTCAGGACAAATCTCTATCACTCACCAGTCCCACAGCCGCTCAGACCTGACCAAGTAAATACAGAGACTTTATATTGGTTACAAACTGTATGGCCGTGACAGGCTTCTTGCTAACTGTTCTTACAGCTTAAATTAATCCATTTCCATTAATCTATACCTTGCCACATGGCTCGTAGCTTACCGGCATCTTCACTTGCTGTTTCTCATCGTGGCGGCTGGCAGTGTCTCTCTGACTCAGCCTTCCACTTCCCAGCTTTATTCTCCTCCTTGTCCCGCCTACACTTCCTGCCTAGCCAATGGCCAATCAGTGTTTTATTTATTGACTAATCAGCAACACATTTGCCACACAGAACATCCCACAGCACTTCCCCTTTTTTTCCCAAAAAGGAAGGTTTTAACCTTAACAAAGTAAAATTACATACAATTTGGGAATTTGGGTGTGGCTTCTCTTACTACTTCCTGCTGGAGGGGGCCACTGTATCTTATGGGGACACAAAGAAAATTTTAGGATTATGGAATAGTCCATGAGGCTGTATCGTCTGAGCCAGTTGCCTTGAAATCGTTCTGGATGTTGGATCATCTGGGCCATGGTGTCATTGGAGACCTTTCAGGGGGTCTTGGCTGGTCAAACCTGATGTATCTTAATCTGGAACAAATCCGTAGCCTTTGACTTTCTGTGGGAACAAAAGCAGAGACTCTTTTCCAAAGCAACATATCCTTATATCCAAATTTTGAAGTCAAGGTACCTTTAAAATATACATATTGGTTTACCTCAACATCTTTTACGATCAAATATTTTTCTGCAGTTAAAAGTCCCAAAGACAACACAATCCAGATTCTCTGTGTAATATTCATCTTTACGTGGCTTATTTTTTATATTAATTTTACTGTCTCTTTAAAGACTTTATTTTTTAAAACTATGTATTTGTTTATATAACTATATATCACTTTTTTGTCTCTTTCAAGCCTACGTATATTTTACACACATTTAAACTATTACATCTGAATCTGTCTTATTGTGAATCTATTGCTTTAAACTGCAGCAGTTGTGGCTGCTGGCTCAGCCCACCTCAGCTTCCCAACATGGTGGTGATAAGTACGTTTACCGCCAGCTCTGGGAGCTATTGTGGGTCTATGCTTTTAGCCAAGCAGCGTGTAGCCCAGAAACTTCTTTTTTTGTTTTATACTAGCAAAGGCTAAATCCACCACACAGCTTAATGTGCCACTTGCAGAGGCTTCATTCCCGCCATACTGCAGGTCGAGCGTGCACACCAGAAACCCACAAGTAGCTCAAACCAGCAGCTGCCACTCATTTGAGAGAGACAATTAGGAACTGTTTTTAGCTCCGTTTTAGAATCTTTTTTCTCAGTTTTTAGGTGTAAACTCTTGCCACCACGTTGGACGCCATTTGTAAATGTAACCAACCTTCTTATTAAATAAGAAACACAGAACCAATGCAAAGAAGAAAGCCAAGAGGTCAGAGCTAAGAGCTAAAACCTTACCCTTCCTCCCGCAGTGGTCCTACCTCTCCGAACCAGAGCTACCCCTGTGTTAAAGTCTTTATATAGAGTTCCTGTTCTGCCTTCTCATTGGTTGTAAACCCAACCACATGACCGCCTCATCACGGCCTGTCTGTATAGACCTCCAGGTTTTCTATGATTGGTATTGAGATTAAAGGCATGTGTATCCAATAATGGCTGTATCCCTGAACACACAGAGACTTACCCAGCTCTGCCTACCAAGTGCTGGGATTACAAGTGTACGCCACCACTGCCCTGCTTTCCTATGGCTTGCTAATAGCTCTGACCCCCGAGCAACTTTATTTATTAATATACAAATAACATTTTAATACAAATAAAATATCACCATAGGCAAACTTGGGAAATGTTCTAAAAGCAGAAAATAGAGTAGTGAATCACAGCTCACATCTCCTGTGCCTCAGCCAACCTGAGACTGCACGGTGCTTGCAAAGAGAATAGAGTGACTTGGTTGTTGTTTTTTAAGTTATATTTTATTTTTAATTATGCAAACCTTACTATTTAAAAACTTGAAAATAAATATAAACAACACACACCCAAGCTAACCAGGACTGAGTGCAGGTAATGGACAGTTATGCCAGAGGAGAAAATGCTAATTGTTTTTCTAGTTCTGATTCTGTCATGGAGTTTCTATTTGAGTAGTGGGCAAGTACATAAAATAGATTCAGTACTGAAAGTGTAAAATATAGTATGAAGTTTCACAGTTTCTGTTCCAAATGCCCATTCTAACTGCATAGACATTCGCTGAATTGTATAGACTTTGGGTCTGGTTCATTTGGGTGTGGGCATTATTTTAGTCAGTCACCAGGGAGTCAAGATGGCTCAAGGTTAACCAGGACATTGTACAATGGAGTGTTGGCCACACAGACCTCATTCTGGGATTTAGCATTTAGGGTTGTCATGGGTGCATTTCAGAGCAGTCACCTATGAGTCCCTTACCCCATATACACACAGGTGGGGGGCTCCAAATTCCTAACACCTCTGCTCCCCTACCTCCAGCGTCCCTCCAAGTGGAGACCAGGGAACCAGTCACAAGAAAGAGAACTAGTTCTCCCCATCACTCGGCTTTGATTTCCAGAGGTACGGTCAGGGGGCGCCCATACTTTTATCTCGGTTGTTTCCAAGAGACATCCTGCCTCAAACCTGTCACCCAAAGGACAACCACATTCCACTGTTTTATATTTCAGACTCATGATTATTTGCCTGCTTTTATTTAATTTTGAACTGAATAACTGTAATCAAGGACTGTTTTAATTATACAGCTAACTCCCTCAAAGATCCATAGAAATTTTATGTGCATAAAAAAGAAAAGGAAAAAGAAAAAAAATGCGGATAGGGAAGCTCCTATAATCCCAGCACTAGGAAACCTGAGGCAGGATGATAGCGTGAGTTCAGCGCCACTCTGGACAGCTGGGAGCCTCTCTCACACAAACCAACCACAAAAGCTGTAATAACAACAAAAGAAGGTTGTGGGGGGGTAGCTGGCTTGTTGGTGTTCCCTTAGCATGCTTGAGGGTGCAGTCCCTAGCCCCACACAAACAGGGTGTCACTTGTAATCCAGGACTGGGGACGCAGCTGCAGGAGTTTATCTTTAGCTACATACTGAATTTGAGGCCAGCCTGGGCCTACATGAGACCTGGTATCCAAAGCCTTAATGCCAGTTTCCTAAAAGAATAAAACAAAAAGGAGTCAGGAACATTTGGTATATTTTTATCCATTAATATTTTACATTTCATAGGTGGCACTGGTGTTTATATCTTTCTTTTAGTATTTCTCTCTGTCTCTCTGTCTCTGTCTCTGTCTCTGTCTCTCTCTCTCTCCCTCTGAATATTCCCAGGCTGCACTGGAACTTGATGTGGAATAGAGATGACTTTGAACTTCTGATCTTCCTGTCTCATCCTGCCTGGCCCCTTGTTCATGCCAGGCAGGCAGGCAGTCTACCAGCTGAACCCCATCTCCCCACATCAGTGGACTTGTATTGTCATTTAAAATGCCTTCGTCATGGAGAGTGGAATAGTTAATTCATCGGTCAAAAACTAAAAGTGTTCAATGTCTTTGGTAAATTGGCTTTGGTACATTACCATTTAGGAACGGCTTGTTTCTAAGTAGTCTGTAATCCTGTTAAAACTATGGTGGGGTTGTTGGCACTAACCTAGATTTAAAAAAAAAAGAGGCAAAAGACAAATGATTAAAATACAGAAAATATAGTTTGCCTACATTAAAGGTATTATTCTTGCTAAAAATTTCAGCTAAAAATATAAATCAGGGTGGACAATTGATGGTAAACATCCTTACATACATCGTGTTACTGTTGCTAAGCAGAACACCTGATAGGGAGAGATTTTTGGAACACTGAAATGTCTGGCCTTAAGTCTTTGGAGATGGCCATAAAGTCTGGGTGACCCTAACAGATGCAAAATGACACAAAGCACAATCCTAAAAATAGTTAAACATACAAAACTTGCACCTAACTTACTTCCAAACATTAATATCAGGCTGTGTCCATCCCATGCCCTTCACTTTCTCTGTTTCCTCTTGACCCCCAGGCAAAGTGGATTTGATTTTTCTCGGTTCTTCCATTTGGGCCACTGGATGTTGGGATGCAGTAGAAGCCAGGGTAGGTGCCGAAGCCAGGCAGCGTGGGGACAGGCAGGGGTGGCTCAGCCACCCTCTGCCAAGCCCTGTGGATAACGGATGGACTGTCAGCAGTGTTGCTGACAGGGCCCGCACTCCCCTCCACAGGCTCCTTTCCCAGTGGACGGTCCGGCCAGCTGTCTGGGCAGCAGGAATAGCCGTTCATCTCCAAGTGAGACCTGTGGGAAAATCCTCTCTGGCCCATAATTGATTCCACTCTGCCAGCCCCAGTCCTGGAAGCCGAAAGGAACCCGGCAGCAGGCTGCGGAGGGCAGCTCGCCTGCCGGGTGCTGCTGGGTGGAGAGCAAAGGCCGTTAGGGCCCCCTGCAATTAACACTAATCTCAAAATTGGCCTCTGACAGCAAAGACCAGCACCTGACAGCTAATTACTTGTGTCACCCCGATGTGCGGCTTCACACGGAAAGGTTATGGATCAGAGAGTGGGGTCTCCCCTCCCCCACGTGGGTTCGTTTGTCTCAGCAGAGAACAGTGAGGAATTGTTCCTGTTGCTTCCTTCCCAGAAGTCTTGGAAGTTCTCAGCCTTCATCTCAAAGACAGGCTCCTAACTAACCTTTGTAAGGCCTGACACAAGGATGCTGGACCACTTAGCCTGTGCTGAAGCCAGAGAAAGGCTTAGGTTTGCTCACAACACACCAGAGTGGTGGAGGTCCGAAATCCAGCTGAACGTAGAAGTAAGGGATTCCGGAATCTGGCCAAACTGTCGGTCTTGTGTATTATGGCCCTCACCCTGGGGAGGAGTCATACATGGTTTCTTTTGCAAATGGAATTGCAAAAGTCGGCTGCCTTTGATTATTTTTCAGTCTTTTCACAAATTTTCAAGTAGCTATTTATGTGTGACACACATAGGTATATTGCATTAAGTGGGTGGTTTAAGCTGCCTTGACCATAATAAAGTGAGCAATGCGGGGGGGTGGGGGGGTGGGGGGGGGATGTTTCCATAGGACATTGACTTCCTATTTTACACTCCAGTCCACAAATACTTTCTTTTTTTTACAGTCGTTTATTTATTCAGTGTGTGTGTGTCCACACAAGTGTGTATGAATGCACATGCCACTTGAGCAGAGGTCAGAGGACAGCTTGCTGGAGTCAGTTCTCTCCTTCCACCTTGGGGATGGCAGGGATCAAACTCAGGTCATCAGGCTTGGTGGCTAGTACCTTTAGCTGCTGAGCCACCTCACTGGCTCCCAAAGACTCGCTGAGGACTTGTTTTATGCAAGTTCTGGGCATATCAGCTATGACAAATTTATTGGTCTTAGGAACTCACATTTTGGAGAAAGAATTCAATACATAAGGAAGGTGCAGTGTAGCATGCTACTCCTTTTTTAAAAACATCTTCCCTTTTCAAAAATATTTATTCATTTATTTATTTTGAGAGTTTTGTCTACACGTACATCTGCACACCAGAAGATGGCATCAGATTCCATTGTAGACAGTTGTGAGCTGCCATGTGGGTGCTGGTAATTGAACTCAGGACCTCTAGGAGAGCAGCCAGTGCTCTTAACTGCTGAGCCATCTCTCCAGTCCCCTAGAGTGCTACTTTTTATTATAGATGGTGAAACCCACCACTCAGAAGCACACAAATGGAGCCCAAGTTTGTGTGGTATAGAGAGTGGCTGCCAGGCTGAGAGCCAGAGAGTAAAAAGGAGGCAGGCAGGCACAGGAGAGACTCTGTGGCAGCACAAAGCAGGCAAGATAAAGGAAAGGCCATGTATTCAAAGCCTGCCATGAAAGAGAACCCAGCTGAGCTATACGCCTGGCAGAAACATGGCGGGGATGAGGCTGACAAGCAAGGTGTGGAATTAATTTGTCCAAAGATTTTAAAAGATGTTTGCCATTTCATGATTTTACTTTTTTATTTTTATTCATTTATTTATTTTTATTTTGTTGTTTTACTTTAATTCGGGCTGAATCTCACTTCTGGTATCAATGTTTTGTTGAAGACCACACCAAAGAAAATGCTGAGAAACAGCAGGGCACAGTGGCTGAGTCCTCCAGCATTGAGTTTTTGTTGGCCAAGCATCATCCTCCCTATGATCCTTCATCTCCTCCTTCCCAAGGAAAGCTGAGTTTTCAAATGATTCACTTATCCAACCTCTGGGCTAGGGGGTAGGAAGTGCCGCGGAAATCTGTGAGAAAGGCAGGCACCAGCCCTACTCTCCACAAGATCATGTGTCTGAAGAGAAAACAGACAGGAAATAGATCATTCTACCAAAAATAAATGGGTGGAACTTGTGCCAAGTGCAAAAAATAAGAAGTTTCCCAAAAGTCATCATCTATATGCATTGTTTTGAATGATGTATTCATTTTTAATATCTTTTATTTATTCTTCAACAATTTCAAATGTGTACACAATGTATCTTGATAATTTCCACCTCCAACCTCCCTCCCTCCCCCTCTGACTTCCGTCTGAATGATGTGTTTAATAATCAAAGGAAATATGTTGCCATTAAGACCTTCATGATATGGAACCACAGTGGTAAGATGGGAAATCTAGGCTTGTGTCTGGGGCTGAGCTCATGTTTTTGCGTGGTGAATCACTCTTCTCACTGCTGTAGCCAAATGCATGACAAGGAGCCACTGAAGGGCTGGAGAGATGGCTCAGCAGGTAAGGGCTCTTTCACAGGAGCTGAGTTCAGTTCTCAGCATCCAGTCACCTGTGATTCCAGTTCCAGGGCCTCCACGGGCACCTGCACACGGATGGGAAGTACACACACACACACACACACACACACACACACACACACACACACACACACACATCAGTAAGAACAGTAATACATCTTTTTAAAAAGGCAGCAACTTGAAACAGTTTATTTTTGGCTTACAGTTTGAGCAGATCACAGTCCATCACGTAAGGAACGATGGTGGCAGGATGGTGGGCTGGGATTCCTCACTCGCTCATAGTTCACTGGACTGGGAAACAGAAAGTAGACAGGAAGCAGGAGAGAAGGGGGAGTTAAAAAAAAAAAAAACTCTAGTGACTCACCTCCTCCAGAGAGGCCCCGCCACAAAAAGCTTCTACAACCACTCCAAACAGCATCACCATCAAATACATGATCCTGTGAGGGATGTTCCACAGAAAAGCTGGAATAGACAAGGCCATCAGTTTCTTATAACAAGCTGTGGAGGGTGAATATTATTTTCCCTCTTTGTAAACCAAGTTCCTGAGATGCTGAGGAGCTAAGTAAGGGCTAGGAAGATGGCCCAGTAAATAAAGGCACTTACTCTGCCAGCCAGAGAACCTGAGTTCGATCCCCAGAAACCACATGGTCTGAGAGAACCAACCTCTGCAAACTGTCCTCTGAACTCCATACATGTGTGCTAACACACACACACACACACACACACACACACACACACACACACACACACACACATCACACACAGAGACATGCAATAGTAATACATTACATAAAAAATAAAGAGCTAAGCGATCTGTTTAAGACCCACCCATGTTGCAAAGAGGAGGTCTGAGCCAGCTTAACAGCTTTCCTCCGTCCCTCCCAGGCAAGAAGATGACTCCATCAACACCTCAGTGCACTTCTGACCGTAGGAGAGCAAGGCTACCTCACACACAGGCAAAGGATCACATCAGGAGGCCAGGGCCAATCTGGCTAGACTGTTCTGCAGCTCCTGCAGGCCACATTTGTAGGGAGTAAGTGATTGGCTTGTGTCATCTCAGGACTGAGCCACCCTCCCAGACGTGCGTTTTCCGAGTCTTGGTAGACATTTACAACATAAATGTAATTTCTACTCCAATCCTTCTATAGCACCTGCCCCCAAGGGGGCCAAATCCTTCCAAACTTTGAAAAGTAACCCCGAGAGCCTTCCCAGATTCAGTTTCCGAAGGTCACGACTTTGCTAACAAAGCAGACAGGGGGCAGGTCACTGTGAACACAGGGCTAGCGAGGGAGGAACCGAAAAGAAATCAACCTTGGACACAGACGCACCACACTCAGAGCCTGGGTCCACCAGGTGCTGCTGATTGCAGATGGGCCCTGAGTGGCTGGATTATTACTGTCACCAGGCCTGTGCTTAGGGAGCGCTACTGTTTCAGCAGTCCTGTCCAAGTCTCCAGGCACCGGCACCAAGTAACATTTTAAAACAAGAGATAAGCAAAGAACCGGGAGTCTAGCTCAGACCCAGAGCCAAGAGGAGAGAAAGCAGCTTTACACCTTGTATCATGGCCAGCAGTCCCCTGTTCTGAATATTTCTCAGAACACCAAGCCCCGCAGCTCCCCTCAAGTGACCCCTGAGTTGGGGGTCTTGTCAAGGTGATGTCAGCAGCAGCTTCTGGAAACAGCTGGTGCTATGACCTCCATCTCTAACAGGTCGTTAAGTTTGACTTCCTAATCACCCACTTGAAGGGCAGAAAGAGAACACTAACCAGAGTGACCAGGCTGAGGCCACACTTGGCCTTCTGCTCAGGCCTAGGGCTGCCTCCCCATGCAGGCTTTTTTTAGGCACTCCAATGGAAACAGATAGTCTTTTGGCCCCAGTGAGATCTCCATCCCACAGCTCCTCCAGGTCTGCTTAACATGAAACCAAGCCTGTGACACGTTCAGTCCACTCCAGTTTTATTTTATTTTGTTTAAGAATAGGGACTCACCAGGCGGTGGTGGCGCATGCCTTTAATCCCAGCAGGCAGATCTCTGAGTTCCAGGCCAGCCTGGTCTACAAAGTGAGTTCCAGGCTAGCCAAGGGCCAAGGATACACAGAGAAACCCTGTCTCAAATAAGAGAGAGAGAGAGAGAGAGAGAGAGAGAGAGAGAGAGAGAGAGAGAGAGAGAGAGAACAGGGGCTCACTCACTATATAGCTCAGGGTAGCCTGGAACTCACTACATAGCCCAGACTGATGGCAAACTCACTGCACTCCAAGTATCTCAGGCACCCAAGTGTCAGATTGCAGCTGTGAGTCACCATCACCAGCTCAGTCACTTTTGATTTCTAGATGCTTCTCTGGCCGTTACTGAAGATGCTTCAGTATGACCAAGTCCCCTTCTCCCCTTCAGTTTTCTGTCATTCGATGTTGTTTAACAAGCAGAATACCTCCAAGATCAAGAGCGAAGACTGAAGTTTGAGAGTTTTGCTTGGCTCTTGTGACATGAGTTTGTGCCAATTCCCTTACAAATGGTGAAGTGCTCTGACTTCTGATTCATGTATGGTCTATGCAATGCGCTCCATATTTAAAGGGTTCTAGTCAAGCGGGGCATGGGGTCATGCCTGTAACCTTGGCACTTGGGAGGCAAAGGTGGGGGTGGTCACAGGCTCCAGGCCAGCTTGGGCTCCACAGTAGGAGACCCTGTCTCACAAAACTAATAAATAAATAAGTACATAACCTCATAAACAATACATAACGGACCCCTGTCTTGGTCTTTGGAGAGTGCTTCTGTTCCTTGAGTTAAAAGGCCCCACACCAACTTCCTGCTGCCTGCAGAGCTTCGGGCACAGCCGTGCACGGAAGGGCCAAGGCTGTGGAATCCCCTGTGCC